CCTCCAGCAGGATAATGCACCATGTCACAAAACTCTAATCATCTCACACCAGTTTATTGAACAAATCAACAGTGACTTTTGGTTTCAAGTAGGACAACCTGCTCCTTACATTGATTTTGATGCTCTTTTTATTACCTTACTTCTACTTCCGTGTTTGTCAGAAAGCAGTGAAGACAAACTTACCCCACTTCAGTCCCACCCCCCAAAAGTCATAAATCTGACAACACATGTGATTGGTCCTAAAATCGCATTAACTATGATGATGTAGGTATACCATCGGTCCTCATTTAACTCCACCAATACAATTTTTTAAAGATTAACTTATCTAACAGCATATGAATTGATTCAAACTGGACCAGTTTTATCCAGCTAGTGTGTTAACACTATAACTTTATTTATTTCACCTCCTTTTATCTCCTTTTTCCACATAGCTCGAGTCTCATGGAGATGTTTCATGACTTTTTGTTGCAAGTACAAGCAAATAGAAGAAGCATAAATAACTTATTCCAAGACGTTCCCTCTGGATTCCTTTATAAAAGCAATAAAACATTACAAAGTATTTCTAGAAACATAAAGGAAAAAATGTCATCTAATGCAGAAATTGCCCATCAGCCATCAAAAGAAATATGTATAAAACGTGAAAGTGAATTACCATTTGCAACACTTATTCAGTAAATTAGATACTGTACAGACGGTATACTGAAAGACGCCTGAACACTGAGAGCTCAGTGTCAAGCAGAAGCCTCGCTTGAATGACAGTCAAGCATGGTGATGCTTCAGTATGTACACAGAAGGTCTTTCTGGGGGGGTGTTGCAGTCTGTTATTAGCTCCTGCAGCAGCCTTTGCGCTCCTCCTGTGCCTCGCTGCTTGGCCCAAGGGGGCTGGAGAGGGTCACAGCACTGATGGAGCCACGGGTCACCTCTCTGCTGGCCACCTTCTTATGGATCGCTGGAGAAAACGGAGACGAAGAAGATTGGCAGTCAACACGGACACAAGTCAAAGTGAGGGTGTGAATTCTCTTTCTGGGCACCTTTACCTGTGAGAACTTCACTGAAAGCTGCTTCAACATTGGTGGAGCCCAACGCCGATGTCTCCATGAACATCAGACCCTTCTTTTCTGAATCACACCGGGGTTTGAAAAACAAAAAAACATTAATACAGAGCAAAATGTATTTAGCAGTGAAAACACCATTTATGAGAATTTTTGCAAGACATAGAAATAAAATCAGTCTCATATATTAGAAATATTCCAAAACAACATTAAAGAAATAACTATACAATACTACTTAACTTACCTGCAAAGTCTCTGGCCTCATCTGTGGGTACGGTCCTGAGAGTGTCCAGATCGCTTTTGTTTCCCACCAGCATGACCACAATATGAGGGTCTGCGTGGTCGTACAGCTCCTTCAGCCATCTCTCTGCGCTCTCATAGGTCAAGTGCTTGCTAATGTCATAGACCAGCAGCGCTCCAACTGCTCCCCTGTAATACCTGAGGAGGAACACACATGGGCTGGGTGTTACATTCAAACAGGAAACAATTCCTTTAAGTAGGTGTTGTGCATGAAAGAGGTGTGACCGTTAATTAAACACAGTGCAATCAGTGTTACTTAAACTGGCAAACATGTGTGAGCCAACACTGATAATCTCATAATTCCCACCTCAATTGTGTCTGTTACTCATTCGTAAATGGTGTGTGTGCTTATGTGTGTGTACCCACGCTGAGGTGATAGCTCTGTAGCGCTCCAGGCCAGCCGTGTCCCAGATTTGAGCTTTGATGGTGAGGTTATCAATCTGCACGGTCCGTGTGCTGAACTCGACACCGATGGTGGTACGGCTGTCATGGGCGAACTCATTCTTGGTGAAGCGAGACAGAAGGTTGCTCTTTCCTACGCCAGACTCTCCGATCAAAACCACTAAACAAACACACACAACAGGTATTGAAATGGCTCTTAATCCTTTATTTGATTAAAAAACTAGATACCAATAACACTGAGTATTAGAACAAATCAAGGATAAACCTATCTCATGGTAACTTGCTGAAACATATTCTTTTATATCCAGACTTTCTGTCACCCTCAAAAGATACTAGACACTATGACACCACACAGACGTGGCACATCTCCCCTGGGGCTGATTTCACTTTGGAATGAATGGAAGTTTATTTTAATAAGGAACATGCACATGCTCATGAGGCTCTTTGTAAGATTATAACGTGTGGATTATATGTTTCTATAATAGGTCAAAGGTTAAATGGTTTACAGCCGAATGGATACAGAGCGATCACTTCCTACTTTCCCTGCTCTATTCACTTCCTTGGAAATAGCAGCAGGCAGCTACAGCCGGAGTTGTACCTGCCAGCTTCATTGTCTACAAATACGCAATAATACACAGAGAAAAAGACATTCATGTCTTCCTACACAATCACAGCTTAAGCAAACATGACTCACCTTTAAAGACAAAATTGTACGAATCATCAGACCCCATGCTGCACTCAGAGGCGAACAGTTCCTGCTTGCTAAGTAAATATCCTGAAGGCACTTTAAATATTAGCTCCCAAAGTAGAGTTTAAAAAAGAAAGAAAAACAGAAAGAAAGAAAAAAAATCCAGCCTCAGTCCTGAGTCTCTCTCTCCGATGTAGAGAGAGCAAAGGTGAAGAAAAGAATGGAAAGAAAAAAGGGAACTGGTTGAGCCGCTTGCTTCTTTATCTACGCATAGTGGGTAGCTTCAGATTGAGGGCAGGCGGTCCTGAGCTCTCATCAGCTGACACCCAAAGGAGGGCTGGAGGGAGGAGAGCAGGTGGAACAGGTAGAACCACTGGCAGGTAGTCATGAAGCGTCTCCACCCTCTGCTGCTCTATTCACGCACTGATTCTGATCATTTGTGGTGTGACCTCACTTAAAAGGTGGTTTCTGTGTGCAAACACACGTCATCATTCCCCACCTTTCTGATCATTAAACTTGGAGTTAAGAGTGCTTTATAGTGTACTAACTATTATGTAACACACTGCTTAAACAGAATTTAATAAGCATATAGCAATAAGTCAGTTAAACTTCTGGGATATTTAACTGATCAGTTAAGTAGCAGCGGGGATTGTTATTCAGTTTCAGCTGCTTTAGTGTTGATGAGATTAACAACAGATGCACTAGAGAGGCAACAGTGACAGTTGTCCCTCATCTAGTTTTGCATTTGACACTGTAAATATCTCTGACCGAACGATCAGAAACAGACTTCATGAGGGTGACTGAGGGTTCTCTATGGACTGTGGAGCCCAGCTGGCATTTAGTGTAGAAAACCAGAATTGCCAAGTACACCACTCGTGAATTGTGCTTATCACAGATCAGAGCAGGTTCACCCTGACAGACCAGCTGGAGAAGCTGTGACAAACTTTGTTTCCTGTAACAATGTTTAGCACGACCAGTTTGGTGGTGGGTCAGTGATGTTCTAGGGAGGCATATTCATGGAGGGACAAAGGCTGACTGCCATTAGGTATCAGGAGAAAGTCCTTGGACCTGCCATCTGACCCTACACTGATGCAGTGGGTCCTGGATTTCTCCTGGTGCACAATACTTGGCCTCATGTGGCAAGAGTACGCAGGAAATGGGAAATGGCCTGTATTTGTATAGCACTTTTTACTAGTCCCGCCTAGAGACCCCAAAGCGCTTTACACACCCAGTCATCCACCCATTCACACACTGATGGAGGCAGCTACAGTTGTAGCCACAGCTGCCCTGGGGCAGACTGACAGAAGCGAGGCTGCCATATCGCGCCATCGGCCCTTCTGGCCAACACCAGTAGGCGGTAGGTAAAGTGTCTTGCCCAAGGACACAACGACCGAGCCGGGGCTCGAACCGGCAACCTTCCAATTACAAGGCGAACTCCCAACTCTTGAGCCACGGTCGCCTCTGGGATGTATGAACTGGTATCAGTGACCCCACCCACATTTTCTTGACCCAAATCCAATAAAACACCTCTTGGACATTATTATCATCATTATTATTATTATTTCAGTTCGTCTGACACCATCAGGTTGCACCTCATTCTCCAGATCATGGATGCCCAGATCTACAGTAGATCCGAGAGGAGACCATCCAGTCTCATTAGGAGCCTACCCTGACATTGCATTTGCAGTATGCATACCTGATAAACTGAAGCTTTGGTCAAATTGACTAGTCTGCCACATCTTTTTTTCACTTGTGTCTTTAAATTTAGCCACCTGTAGGCTAATAATTACTATTTCCTTTAAAATATCTGGCATCCTTTCATTCCTAACCAATTACCCAGTCTATATCAATGTAGATATCAAGCATTTCCTTTTTTTTTCTTCATAGATCTGATGTGTTCAAAATGTTCCTTTACATTTTTTTAAAGTATATTTTAATTATCGTGATTAGCAGAACACAGCTACAATCGATCCTATATGAATACAAACCAGCAAACACAGTTCAGGCTCACACAGTAATTCATAACTCAGCACTCTAAGAAGATAGCGTGTTATTGTTATAGTGACATGTTTGTCTTACAGACTATTTGTGACTGTATAAAATCTGAATTACCACGTTATTTTTGTAAGAAATACAATATTTGAATCAATAGAAAAGATAAAAATAATATACAGTAAGTTCATTTTTGACAAGACATTTCCTTACAAATAGTGAAAATATTGATTTTAACTGACTAAATTAATATCAGAGATGAAAACACTTCCTGGAACTTTTAAGCATCATTAATAGTAATCTGTGTACTTTTCAGCAAGCTTCCAAGGTATTTAAAATTAAAATATTTAAAATATCATCCAATTAGTGGTACCAAACTAAAACCTTAAAGGATGGCCAACTGTGTTTAAAAACAAAATTCTTTTTAAAAAAATTTTTTTAAAAAACCCTCCAAAAGTAGATTTAATCTTGCAGATTTCAACATTTCACATTTAACAAAAAAACAGAAACAAAGTTCAATGACTTCATACAAATTAACTTTCATAATCAACTGACACATGTGTGGGCTGTTTTTAAATCATGTTTTATTTTTTTAGTACAGTACTGTTAAAAGTTAGTTTCAACATGTTCAATTCGGAGATGGATTTTCTTTTTTTTTTTTTCCAGCTGAGGTCAACAGACAAAGCAAAGCTATAGCAGCAGTTGCCAAGGTTACCACAACTACATTGCTGAGAATTTCAAAAGGAAAAAAAAAATAATAATAAAATAAAACAACCTAGGCTTGATTTGAGAAATTTATGATGCCACTGTACCAGAGTTGTTTGTAAAGCCGTTCCATCGTTCATTTTTCGTTAATCATTTGATTTCCATTTTATTTTGATGAGACAAATCACTTCTAGGTACTAACTGCACCTCGAAAGAGAAATTAAAATGAAGAATAAGATTAAAACGAAAGGAAAACTTGTTTCATTCTTATTCATTCTAACTGCGCCGTCTGCTTCAGAGACGCTGCGATGTGATATCTGATTATGGCTAAAGTTCTGGATGGTGCGTGAAATTTTCTTAGTTGGGGCAGGGTCCTCAATAACCCACTGAGTGAGGCAATTCACTGATGATAGGGCAGTGGAAGACAGCAGGCACAGCAATGGTGCCTCAGTGGGGAAAAGCCACTGCACCTGTGAGTGGGCACTTTTATCTTGAATGACGTATTATGTCATGTTATTAAGAGCTTGCAATAAATAGTGAAAGCTGTTGGGGAACGACAGCCATTTAAGTAGAATCTTTAGAACAAGGAAAGGAGGAAATAAGGTGGATCATCTGCGTGGACAAGCTACCTTCCTGCTAACACTCAGGTTTGCCACCTGTAATCAGAAAATCTTCATTTATCAATTTGCTAGTTAAATACCAGCAAACCTCACAGTAGCCATGTAGGAAAAAGAGCCAGATGCCAATCACATCACGTGGGTTCAATTTGTATCATGAAAATGTTAACCTGTAGCACTCTACTCCAGTTTTACATGAAGAAAACAATATATATAGTGAAAATGGTAGGGAATCCCTTTCCAGGAGAGATTTTCACTCTTATTCTCTGCACCAGAATACCCTTTACGGTAAGAGTGGTTCAGTCCAACTCTACGGCAGCACTCTTGACAGAGATCTGGTTGGATGGTGGCAAAGAGTGAAAGTATGGGAAATGGGGCATGATCTGAGAACAGATGTAGAGTGAAGGTCTTATAGATCCTGCCCACGTTCGTTCCGTTAAGTTGGGGACAATACACTGAAATTTATTTTGGTTCTCTGTAGATGCTGGGTGTTTTTGTGAGTTAGGTATGTATGCGCATGTCTGTGTATCACTAGGTACTGTATGTCTTTACGAGGGCTGTGAGCCCAGAAGTCTCTCGATTGCAGCATTGATGTCTCCTCCAGTAGCTATGAGCGCCTGCAGGTTGGCCTCGCGGTTGATGAAGCCCATAGCATTAAGCTGGTCCAGCTGGGACTGGAACCGAACCTCTGGGGTCTGGGTCTACAACGACAAAATGAGATGCGAGACAAATTATACTAGTACCATACTGTGACCATGTCCACCCCCCTTTTTCTGTAAAGCAGTCATTTCATCTGAGAGCACGCATGTTCACAAATTGTACAGTATTGTGCAAAAGTCTTGAGCCACCATTTCTTTATATTTTGCTTAGCCACTTTTCTGTCCTTTTAAAAAGCGTCCTCAAGAAGGCTTTTTGAAGGCCTTTCAATGTTTTTCTTTGGCTGATTTTCCACTCATTTCAGTCCAGTCCTTTTACCTGACCATTTTTACAGGAATGTTATTTGACCACTTAACACAGGCAGATAAATCATCCACCCAAAGATAACAACCTAACTCAAGTGTTCCACCTAGTTATGTTTATGTATGTGACTAGAGAGCTAGAGACCAGTGAAACAAAGCAGCACTTGATGACAAAAAAGTTCAGGATATCCTCAACTCATCACACTATTGCTGTCATTTGCCAGAAGTACGCTTCAGCGACTCATCACCACGCAGTGGACACCTTTTACAAAGTTTATTCGTTATTCATTGCTAAGTGTTGACATTATTCAAATATTTTAAAGTGTAGTGTGTACCCCAATGCTCACTGTACCTATGATTACACACTTGAATTAAGAGGGGTAAGAAAAATTGAATTCAGTTAACTGCAATTTGCAATCTACTGACATCTAGTGAGATTTTACAGACTTTACCTTTAAGACAAAGGAAAAACTCCAGCAAAGACCTGACACAGGACCAGCGAGGTACATCTGGTCCTTCAGTGGATCGCTCACTGAAGTCTCATCATATATGGTCTAAACGGAAGGCGGCTATCAAGAAGCCATTTCATAAGGAGGACAAACAGTGAGAAAAGGCTGAGGTATGTCAAAATCCAGTGTGAGATGATCTTGACAGAGGATGGAACAAAAGGCAGCAAACATCCATAGAAGAGCTTTAAATGTCCTTCAAGAAGCCTAGAGATCTATTCCCGAAGACATGACAAAACAGCTGGCTAAGAGAGTTCAGACTATGTTGAAGAATAAAGATAGTGAACCCAAATGTTGACTTTAAACCTTGTTAAAACTGAAAAAAAAAAAAAACTCAGTTTTTATACTTTTCCATGTTTCAATAAAACACTGGAACTATGTCCTATTTTACCACCAAAATATAAAAAGAAATGTGGCCCAAGACACAGTACTGTAATTCCTATGCATGTGTACCGTTGCGCTTCCGCCTCCACCTCCTCCTCCAGCAAACATCTGGAGCATCTGTTGCATCAGCTGCTGCTGGGCAGTGTTTGTTCCAGCACTGCTGGGTGAAGATGCAGGGTTCTCTGTGGGCATGGCCCCTCCTGTGGGTATTCCAGGAATTCCACCTGGCATCAAACTAGGATGAAGGAAAAATTAACAGCAGAGAGTATATCCACCTCAAAAATGAACGATGTTTAAATGTGTGTTAGCATACCTGGGCATGAGGCCTGGTGCTTCTGTCTGCAGTGTCTGTAGGCCCTGCTGGATCTGCATCAGAGCTTGCATGGCCCGTGGATTGGTCATCACTGACAGAGCTTCTGGGTTCTGCATCTGCAACCCAACAGTTCAATGAAATTGTCACAGGATTAGCAGTCTAAATTGTGTGAGCGTTACAGCTGTTTTCACACATGCACTGCAGGTTTGTTCAGCTGACAGAGGTGCATTGGACAACCTAAAAGTCAGACTCAAAGGAGCTTGCAAAGAAAAGAGTCTGGACTTCTTTAAGTTGCTTGAAGACATTTCACCTGTCATCCGAGAAGCTTCTTCAGTTCTAAGGTCAAATGGTGGGGAGTCCCAGATTTAAACCTAGTGGGAGTGTCCCCCCACAGAGGGACAAAAGGACCCCTGATGATCCTCTAATCGCCTGAGCCAAGGTGTGAAAATGGGTGTGGGTCCCAATCAGCCAGGGTTTCGGGTGAGCTCTTTGTGAAACCTGGCCCCACCTTATCATGCGAATTCCTGAGGTCAGATGGCCCAGGATGTGAGTGGGCGTTCAGGCGTCTGGGGAGGGAACTCAAAGCTGGATTATAGATGGCAGACAGTTGGTGTCGTAAACCACCGCCTCTGTTCAAAGATGGTCGTTCACAGTGGACATAGATGGACATAGATGTAGCTCAGGCGATTAGAGGATCATCAGGGGATCCTTTTGTTCCTCTGTGGGGGGATATTCTCCCACTAGGTTTAAATCTGGGACTCCCCACCATTTGACCTTAGAACTGAAGAAGCTTCTCGGATGACAGGTGAAATGTCTTCAAGCAACTTAAAGAAGTCCAGACGCTTTTCTTTGCAAGCCCCTTTGACTACGATGACCTGGATGACTGAGAACCTTCACAGACTAAAAGTCAGACGCAATTACATCAAACATTTTCCAGCTACCTAGTACAAAGTTCATGCTATGTCAAATGGTGCTGCTGTGTCAGCACCACAGGTAATATTCTGCTACATTTACTGTTAGCAAATATTTCCTGCATGCTAGGTCCAGTAGTTCCCTCAAGTGAACCCTGTGAAGTACTGCCAATAGTTTGAAAGCTGACACTTTGCTGTAAATTTGTGACATGTTGTGTGGTACATGTGAGAAAGAAGAACAGTAGAAAATGTATTGATGCAATTATCCAAAAACTGACTCAAGTGGGAAAGCGACTCAACTAACAAATAACAACTATTCAGGAGATTCTTCTAATATTCAGATTTCAGTTTTATTTAAAGAACCTGGGACATTTGCCAGCACTGCTCTAAGTGAGCGCAGCAGCACCTGTGAGGGAGCCGTTTGTGTGTTGTTGTCTTGTGGTTTGGTTGCCCAGATGGAGTCTGTTAACTATGAAACCGACAGTCACTTCCACCCTTCTGGGTGATCATTTGATATACTACTGCCAAATTCACTTCTAATTAAAAATGAAACACGTAATTTCCTCATATTTCAATGTGTTTAATGTATTTTAACTTCTAAATCAGGTATTAAATACATATTATTTAATGATATAATTCATCATGTACCCTCGGCAGATACATAGACTGAGGCTCATTATGCCACCCTGCAGATCTAATCAGCTCCATTCTTTGTTACAGTCTTTTATAGAAAACATGCAAATCTAGAACTGCGGTACTAAACTAAACAAATATGCTGTACCTGCTGCAGAAAGATAGGCAGCTGAGCTCTGAACTGTTCCTGCAGTTGTTGGTTTCCAGCAAACAAGGGGTTATTCATCAAAACCTGGTAGAGAAAAGGGGAAATACAGTCAAGCAAAAGGATCATTCCACATCAGGCTATGCTGCTTACTCACTAAAATAATAGAAAGATTTAAGTAAATTCATTTTAGCACCTCACCACAGCTTTCAAACTGATGCTGTACCCTAATCAATATGTCTTTAGTATCACTCAGCAGCACTTTATCATGAAGCTGCTCTGGTCTAAATATAAGCTTAAAAGACAATCTCTGTATTGTCTTAATGCCAGTGGCTAACCTGATACTGACAGTACATTTAAACCGAGTTGTTCATTATGATCCACTTGTCTATGTATAAACATGTGCACCTGTCTGATGCACATTCTGAACAGGAAAATATTTTAATCTAATTTTTTCTGCATGGCTGTGCATTATATGTATGTTTAAATGTGTGTGTGTATCCATCTTTAAGCTTACCTGGGAGGCCAACTCTGGGTTTTGAGCCAGTGACTGCATCATGCTGCGCATGTAGGGAGCAGACAGCATGTTCTGCATCAGCTGAGGGTTTTCAGAGATCTGCTGCAGTAGACTCTGCATGCCTGGGCTGTTAAACATGCCTACAATAAAAAGAAAACAATAGAAAATATAGACAAGAAATTCAAAAAAAAAGTAATGTATACATAATTCACTACATCAAAGTATTATTTACAAATAAGTAATTTGATAGTTAGATAATATTAAATTTAAGGAATTCAGGCTCGCTCTGGCTTACCATTTCCCAGACTGCCAGGATTGATGCCCAGAGGGTTCGACACACTTGGGGTGGTGCCTGCGGTGGTACTACTGCTCCCCGTGCTGCCCCCTCCACTCTCAGAAGGGTTAGAAGAAGTTGGTGGCCCCCATGGATTTGGTAGGGGCTCTCGGTTCTCTGTCCGTGATGGCTGGGCACCAGACTCGGAGCTCCCTCCCAGAGCTGAGAATGGGTTGCTACCAAACTACAAGGAGGCACATTTGGAAACACAACTGTCAGAATACTACTAGCTATGCAATGCTGACAAAAAAGAGACAACAAATACTACAGAATGAGTGAGAAGTTCAACAAGCACCAACAGTGCACAAAAACAAAACATTCGTCAGCAAGTATTCCTCACAGATACCTGTTCTCTGGCAGCGCTAAACATGGGCTCCTGGATGTCTGTGTACATCCTCCGCAAAGCATTGTATCCTCCTGGGATGCTCTCCAAGTTGCTCAAAGCCCGGTCCTGGTTGCGCATCATTTCTTGCATCATGGCTGGGTTCCTGGCCAGCTCCATGGTCTGTGAGGTGTTATAAGAACAGGAAAGGAAACAACTGAATCAAGGTATCATTTTAAACAGAGCTTGTAAAATCCTTTAAAAAAAGGCAGATAATATAGTGGGAATCTAATATTGTGCTACCTGAATGACACATTCAGCCCTTCTTAGTTCTGTTTACCTGTCTCATAAGCTCAGGGTTGTTGAGCATGTGGGAGATCTCAGGGTTGCGTTCCATCAACTGTTGCATCTGAGGATTAGCCATAATCATCTGTCTCATCAAGTCTGGGTTTGACATCATGTTCTGCACCAGCGGGTTCTCCATAATTTGAGAAAGCATCTCTGGATTGGACATAAGCTGCCTCTGCATCTGCTGCTGCAGCTCCATGAAGTTAGCCGAGCCCATGCCCAGTCCAGCTAGACCACCCAGGTCACCGAAGCCAGCTGAAGGAGGAAAGATTGGAGAGTGCTGGTTAAACACACCGCATTTCTCAAACAGTGAAAGGTGTTTGCCTGTATAAAATTACACAAAGTTGCACTTACTCAGTATGTTGGGCGTCTGTGTGGGTGGTGGGGCTGAGCCAGTAGAGCCTGTTGTGGTTGAGGGGTTGGTGCCTGGATTTGAAGTGGAGGTACTGCCTGCTTGGGTGGATGTTGAGCTAGAGGCTGATGTGCTACCACCATCTGCCGCCCTACAGAGATGATTTTTTGGGGGGGAAAAGACAAACTTGGTAATGCTGTGAACGCCGTGTGCTTTGAAGAGAAACATGAATCCAAATGCACAAAAAACACTGAACTGTAAATCTAATGAATCCTTTTTGAAGACAGACACGAAGCATTTGGTTGAATCAGCATGGTTTGTTGACTTACTTGTGTGCTGTTTTTATGACCAAGTGCACTGTCAGGCCATCTTTGATGCCATGTTGGCTGAGGCTGTCGCCATCTTTTAAGATTTTCCCTGCAAAAATCAGAACCAGCTGGTCCTGTTTGGCTTTGAATCGCCTCGAGATCTCTTCTTTAAACTAAAAGACAAGAAAAAAGTAAAAACATAAGAAGTGAACCAGAAAATGTCTTACAAAAAGAGAAGAGATGGAGACAGAAACTGGAAATGAAAATTACAATATAAAGGAAGAGATGATTACTCACGTGACATGCTGCTATTATCTGGTTCTGTTTTGATGCAAACCTCTGGCATTACAGATGCCATTTCTAAATATCCCATTATCTGGGACCATGCACTCTAAATCTATCAGATTACCACTAGTCTTTCAACACTTTGTGAAAATTACTTTGATAAAGTAGACCTTTGATGAGTATTTTAAGGACAAAGGAAAAAGAAATCACTAGCACCCTATAATCGGCCTTCCTGACTGCAATCAGCCCTTTAGAAAATCAGAATGGTCAATGTCTACCTGTTACTTTTCATCAACTTTACTCTGTTTGATAAAACATGAAAAGCTTTAAGACCGCTTTCTGTAAAAGAAGAATTTAAAAAAGGAATCAGTACCATGGTTTAATAATGGCCCAGAATTGTTGACTACTATCGTTTCGTTCACAGGGGCCTAGCAACCTCTGTGTAAAAGCAGCACAGAATCTACACAAGTAAATACGCATGATTATACAATGCAACTTAAACAATTTAATACTTATACATGTAACCTGGTCATTGCACTAAATGTTATGTACATCAAACAAACACAGGCCCGTGTGCATGAACAGATTAAAGAACATGGCTAGCATGTATGAACAGTGAAACCACAACCATTCAGTGGCAACGTAGCCATAACAAACACATCTGAAGAGATTATCCTTTTATTGTGATTAAAAAGACTGCGTTATGCTTTCAGTGCCCCACGTCGCCAAGCCAACAGTAACACTGAGAAACTGTATATTCCCAAGAAAGCCCAATGACTCAGGGGCAGCACTGAGAATGTTCTAGAGGGAAAGCAAAGTTTAGCTTTCGCTAAAGCCGTCGGGCTGAAACAGAAAATTAAAGTATGTTGTAAATCCGAAACCCCTGTCGTGGTTACATCAACTATCGGTTATATCGGTTCCTACTTGTGGTAGTGGCATAACTAAAGCGTCAGCTGACACTTGTTTGGCTACATAGTTAGCTAATGGCTCTGCTAGCAAGTTGGCTGGCTAACTTGCTAAGTGCTAACACTTAGCAGGCTAACCGGTTCGCAATTTCATCTATTGTGTGGTCATATTCCTCGATTGGATGTCACCAACGTTAATATCACCGAACATTTGTTACCCTAAGCGGCAACACTTCCGCTACACACAGCCCCTTTAATTTCACAAAGCCCCTGGTTGCCGGCTAGAGTGACGACAAATGCTAACAGGGCTAGCTCGTTAGCTTCCTAGCTGAACTTGTGGGCAGAGGCATGACGTTAGAGGCGCAGCAGCTAGCTCCCCACCAGCAAAACCCAACCAACCTGAGTAACAGAGGCATCTTCTGCGATGGCGATTTCTTCTTTGTCTTTAGGAGTTTTCACTGTGACCTTTATAATAGTTCCCTCGGAGGCTTCAGGTTTATTATTGTTGTTATTACCAGGATCTGCGGCGCCTTGGTCAGCCATCTTTACTCCGCCGATGGAACAGCTCGGGTCTTGGCGTCGGCTTCCGGATCATGAGAGGTCAAACCTCTTTCCAGAACGAATTTCACAAGCTCCCGTATGTACGCTGTCTCTGCCTGGTCATCATTGGTCATCACATGTATCACCAGAGGAAACGGATGTTATAAAACATCACACGTGTGATTAACATCCCCACCCCCCAAATAAACAAAATCGGAAATGATTTTCTAAAACATGTCTGCACTATAATCAGGCTTTTGGCAGCACATCGGGTATCTTACATACATTCTTTATTTTAGACCGGTGTATTCTTATTTATTTATTTAGGTATTAGGTGAGAGATAAGCCACCCAAGCTTTCATACATTTATCGATTTTCTCTATTCAAACTTTACAAAAACAAAACAAAATTTATTTAAACTTAAAGCATGTAGAAACAAAACGTTCTGTTTTTAAAAGTACAGTGCTGAGCCATATTCGTCCATGGAAATACAATATATACGGAAAAAAAACAAACTTTGTAAATAGGAAAAGTAATAGTAAACAAATCAAGTGAAGGTCCAGATGCATCTCTCAGGTTCTGTATCAGGGCTTTACTGGATTTTTTCCTGTCCCTTAAGGACGTGACTTTCATCCATCATCTGCTGTGTTTTCAGCAGTTTAGCTCTTTGGTAATCAACTTTTTATTGCAAAACTGCTGTCTTATGCCGATCAAATTGTGTCATCTTTGGCCTTTTTCACAGATTCAGCTATAGAAATGTAAAACAATCATGTGTTTTTGTGATAGCCTGTGCCTAAAATAATATGTAAGGTATCTATTAAGTGTAGACAAAACAGCGATTACTCTCGTGAGTTTAGGTGCTTCTTTAAGCTTTAATGATTCATAGGTCAGTGTTAGGTGGCTTAAAAAATGGCCAGGTACTATGGCTGGACTGAAAATGAGAGAAAAAACCATCAACGTTCAAAGAATAAGTTAGAAAGGCCTCCAGAAAGCCTGTAGAATTATTGCTCAAGACCACTTATAAATTTACAGGAAGGTCTGGCTCTCTGGAAGCAAAATATAAAGACACGATAGGGTGATCGATACTTTTGCACAGTACTATAGGTTTTTGTTAATTAATTAACCCTTGTGATGAACCTTTATGCAGTGTTTTTTATTTATTTATTTTAGGTAAAGTCTTTTAACATTTCCTTTTATCTGTTGGTTTAGTGTTTTGTCTATTAAGGATATGAACTCTGTCAGCAGTATTGTTAACACCTGCTTCAAAGTCACAGGGGCCAAGCAGAGACATCTGTGCTCACTCTTTGGGAAATCAGATAATGAAGCAGGCAATAAACATTATTAACATATTTTTCATCTGATTTCAGGAAGTTCCTCCTAGGTCACCATTTCTGTGTACCCCAGAGTGGATCAAATGTATACTTTAAATCCTTCACTCCCGCGGCTATTAGATTACTCAACACTGACAGGGTCCATTTAGATTATTTTTTTCTATGATTGTTCATTTTTAGATACTTGTCCTGTTTATTTATTTTATGTTTAATGTATTTATTTTAATTCTTTTCCCATGGCCTCATTCTTTGTTGATCTCTGCCTTGACATGCAACAGTGTTTGTGTTTAAGGGCTAGGTTGTGTGAGCAGGTTGTGTCCGTAAGATGCAAACAAATAGTCCTTTTTTGGCATTAATAAAGTGATCTGAATCTCAATCGACTAAGCATAGATGATTTTCATGTATGTACCCCTTTTCCAATATACATGTAACTGTATCTAGAAAAAGTGGACAGATTTTCTAAAAAGCATCATAGGTTCGTCATAGGTAGGTTTAGGATAAGGGTGTGTGGGTGTGATAAGGTTTATAGTGAGAGTACAGAAATTCCCTACGTCAGTGAGTATTTTCACAGTGACCAAACATCCAAGTGTGTGGTGTGTTTTTTCCTATTTCATTTTGTGAACCATATAAGTTGTTTTTAAAATGTTTCAGACTAGTTAAAAATCTCCTTTATAACCTTGTCTGCAGGGTAGAGCTCGTGATCTGAACATATACTGTATCAGGTTTAAATTGTGACAGAGATACGGCTTGTATAGAGCGCTGCCTCTATATGTGTCTGTACATGCTGCCACAGGGGGTAAGAGCTGAAAGAAAAGTGTTTGCTTCAGCATGTTGCATTGACACTGACAGTCCTGCATACCTATGCACATCCCCAGTTCTAGAGCAAGCCATTTACAAACAAACAAAACCCCCCAAAAGGAACACCCCTTCTCTAAGGGCACACAAATGCCAGAGACTGCGCACACACATACGCACAAACACACATACACACACGCACACGCGTGTCATTTGCACCGTGGCCCCTGTGGTGTTTCATTCAAGTGTATCTCACTGAGCGAGACTCATGGCAGCAAAAGATTTTGCTTTCCTCAACAAAAAATCAGAGGGGACAACTTTACAGTTGTAGTATTGTCTCTGACTCTCTCGCTCTCTTTCCAGCCTGCTCTCTCTTCTCCCCCTCTGCCTGTTCGTATTTACTCTATCTACCTCTGGAAGGCGGGCAGTAGAGAAAGGTGCATTTCCAGAAACGAGGTAAGGGATCAGATTTAACTGCTATTTTTGAGTGTTTATCCTCCAGTGTCACGTTTGCGTTCATGGTCACTTACTGCTGAAGAAGAACCGGCGTAACATGAGAAACAAACTGTGGCATCACACAGAGTAGCTGTTACACATATTTTGCTTGTTCAAGTCACAGTAATGTTTCCTCTAAAGAACAGGTAATGTTAACTGCTAATCAAATGCTGGATTTCTGTAAAAGACAGCTAAAAATGTGATTGTTCTAAGATTGTATATAGAGTAATATTTTCAATCAGATTCATGTTGTTCCAGTGTACTTGTTGTGGATTGGTTGGCTTTATGTGCTATTTTCAAACAGGGTTAAAAAATTCATAATTAGCTCCCTTTCCCCTTTTTTTCCTGTCGCCTTTGTGTAGTTTTGGGATAATTTGAATGATCGTGAACATTTAATTTTCTGTTTAACGTATTTTAGGTTGGGTAATGTTCTACTATCACATATGCACAGAGCAAAGGCGGAAACACACTGCAGGTGTTTGTTTCAGCTGTGACATATTTAACCTTTTCTTTGCAGGTTTTGATCAAACGGGCTTTTACAGTGTAAGAAAAATGTCTATCGTTTTCTGTTTTTACAGGTGCTCTACAGCGGCCCCATTATCTCTGCTCAAAATGTACAGCTTCATGGGAGGGGGTCTGTTCTGTGCCATAGTGGGTAATATCCTGTTAGTGGTCTCCACTGCCACGGACTACTGGATGCAGTATCGACTCTCTGGAAATTATGCCCGCCAGGGTCTCTGGAGGTACTGCATGTCCAACAAGTGCTACATGCAGACCGACAGCATAGGTAAGAGATCCAGGGTGTCTTCAGCCCATTGGACCACCACAGTATTTGTAACAAATCAAAGGAGTGTGTACATTTATATGTCTGTTTTTCATTTTTGGATATTGACATGGCTGTGAAATAAAATCAATTAAATTTGGCTCAACAATCAAAACAATCCTGTCATACATGCCTTGTTCATTTCTGTCTGTTTTCACCCAGCTTACTGGAATGCCACCAGGGCCTTCATGATCCTTTCAGGGATGTCGTGCTTTGCAGGCATCATTGCTGGCATCATGTCCTTTGCGCACTTTTCCTCCTTTGAAAGGTTCAACCGCTCCTTTGCCGCAGGAATCATGTTTTTCGTCTCAAGTGAGTTGTCTTTCTTTTGATTCGGCAAAAACACACCAACAGAAACAGTAATAATGGCACTAGAATCACTGACATGTGCATCCCAATCGCCCTCTCAGCTTTCTTTGTTCTCCTGGCGATGGCCATCTACACTGGGGTGACAATCAACTTCCTGGGAAAGCGATTCGGTGACTGGCGCTTCTCTTGGTCATATATACTCGGCTGGGTGGCGATGCTCATGACCTTCTTTGCAGGTGAGAAAGGACATCCAGTTGCAAAAGTCAATAACTGCTTAAGTTACCATTAAATACCTAAAATCCGACCATTTGAATATATTTGATGATCAAAGCCTCATCTCGGCCTGTTGCAGGTATTTTCTACATATGTGCCTACAGAATGTGTGAATGCAGGAGAGGAACCGGACCACGCTAGAGCGAGACAGACAGCTTGTTTGAGAAAATAAAGACATGCTGCCTCTTCGAATACACGAAAGGCAGAACCCATCAAGGTGGCCTTGACTGATCTACTGAAGAGATGATGTCTTATACCGATGCTGGAGGTCTTTGATGGTCTGTTTAGCATGTTTTTAAAAAGTCACTGCAGTACAGACTTTCTTTTAGTCACAGTAACAATATAGAGGACAAACGAAACTAATAAAGCTATAACATGACTGATGCTGTTTTTACTAGTGTAATTTGTTACTGGCTTAAGTTTTGTGTGGAAATCTCACCAGGAGATGGCAGCACTAAAACACCACGGAAGTCCTATCTTAGTCAGATTTGATGAGGAATGTAGGGCCACTATATTAAACATCAAATCAGGGATTAAATAACTGGTAAGGTTGTCGTTTTTGTAGATCAGATTTTTATACAGTCACTCCTTTAACTTTCAGCACCGCAGACTAATGGAAATACTTTTTATTAATAAGCAAACTCTACTGGAGGAATGTATGTAATGCAAAAATATTAATCCACAAAGCAAAGAACAGCACATCAAACCTCTGTGGGGAATATTCTTGTCTCGGGGTTCCCCCTGAAGCTATCAGATTCAATACAGCTGACAAAGATTTCCCCAAAGTAATAGAAAAATATATGATCTTTTTTGGGCTGTTGTTTAAAGGCAGAGCTTTGCCTTTGATTTTTGACATCCCCTTAAGGCTTGACAGCTCATGGAAAACTAGAGGGAGATTGTTTGTGTTTGTGTGTCAAACAGGCTACAAACAGCAGAATAGATTTTGAGAGGAACGCCAAGCTCCCAGACCGGGGCACACACCAGGGCAGGGTCCACAGCAAGCGATTGTTTTACTGCCTTTATCTTTACTAACTGCTTCCGTCTTTTTCTTGGTACTCATCCACTTCTCGAATCAGCTGAAAGGAAGAGAGCAGGAGCTGTTCAGGTAATGAATGCTTGGCTACTCAATGACGCAGAAACAATGGGAGAAATGTAAACAGTCGGTGGACAGATCCCTTGGTCCAAGTTTCCATACTTGGTCACCCGTGGCTGCTGTAGAGAGAGAAGCTTTGTAATATTGTGTGCTTTTCTCCAGATTCTTTCATAACCCTCTGTGAACCTTTCACCAGAGTCTGGGTTTACAGTCTGTGGTATGACTTGGCAATTTTTTCAATTTTGTTTTTATTTTAAGGACTTAATACAGTCCTGCAATAAGACATTTTTATAGCAGCAGAGTGAAACAAAGTAACAGAGTAAAGGGTACTGACATATTTTTATTCATCTATCTGTACACACATTTAAGATTTAAGGTTAACATTAGTGTTTTGTTTTTGATTTGTAACCAGAATCAAGAGAGGTTTATTATCAAATGAAAAGGTTATTAACTGGCAGCTACACACGGTGGAAACACAAAAATGCAGGGGAGGTCGCCCCTCTAAGAGGTCTGCTCATAAATGTTTGCTGCTGTCACTGAGAGCAGCTGGAAGGTTTTAGGTTTCACTGACACAACCTGATGATTTATGTGACAACATCTCTAGTAAATCTGACTTTGCAGACGTGTTATTTTTCTCACATCAAACACGCCATCCTTGTGCTGTCAGTCTGTTGGGGGATTTTGAAGACTTTCTTTTGGTTTTGGCACAAAGAGGTATCAAGAACAAGGCAAGGGGGTCCAACAGGTAATCAGAATATTTGATTTAAAAAAAAAAAAGCAGTGCAGAAAAGTGGCATGCAAAATAGTGAGCACATTTGTAAATTAATGTCTAGCCACATTACATGAAAAGTGACGCTACACAAGAGCTTGAAATGTCTATTTGTACTGAATCATCATTTTTTTAAGTGGTGAAAGAAGTATTCAGACCCTCCACTTAACTAAAAGTCATAATACTTAAAAAATATATATATAGCATGAAGGTCAAGATCAAAATGTACTTTATATGTACCCAAAATGTATGTAGGTTCAATGCAAAATCTTATCCATTAGATTATTGGATCAGAAATATTGATTCATTAATGGTCATGTCTCTTTAATGATGGCGATTGTCTAACCAACAGTCAAACTTTATATTAACATGTGAAACAAATATAGTATAAACAGACATTCCAGTTTGAAATTATTGGGCCATTTGACAAAAAAGCTTTTTAGATAACAAAAAAACCCAAAACATTAAAATACACATTCATATATTATTCTGAATTTTTTTTTTTTTAATGTTCTGTGGATTTTGGCTTCAAATTAAACAAGCATATGAGCAAGCAGCCAAATGTCTCTTTGCCCGGGTCGTCCACCGACTGATTAGTTATTGCCCTCGGAGATGGAAGAGTACGCTGACACAGCGCGACCTTATAAAAACTGTCCTCGTCCCACCCCGGCACATCATGTGGAGATTCATCCTAAACACCCTGTGCCAGGTTCCTGCTATTGCTGCTCACTCATTACTTTCACCATCAGCTTATAGTCACGCGTGCACAGCAAGTATGAAACGAGACGTGTTTTTGATCGCTTCTCGGTCCCTGAATGCATCTATTTTTATTACACTGCGATATTTCAGGGGCAAGTTACATGGACGTGGTTTTAGAAAGACTTTATTATGTAAGTGAACACTAATGTGGCATTTCACTTAGCAGACACAACACGAGACAAAGAAATAATGAAACATTTCACAGGCAAATAAAGAAGAAAAAACTATATAATTTAAACAACTTGTATAAATAAAAGTCTACACAGCAGTGAATATGAAATGGTTCATTTTACACTAAATACACATTTTCTGAGTGAAAGTCTGCTGCTCGTGTAATTGGAGAAAGCATTTTGGTTAAAAGTAGGATCAGTTTCTGTGGCACATATTTGGAGTTTGCAGTGAACCTTCTGCAACTGTAATTGGTCCCACATGAACCTTGATAATATATCAACAAAATCACAACGTTAACGTTTTGAACATCTTCATGTGATAAGAGGGTTTTTAATATTTTATGTTTTCTATATATTCAGTGTCATCTATTGCATTTTGGTTAAAGCTAACAACTAATCCAAAGAACCACTAAGTGAAAGTAATGCAGGAAAACGAGCATGACGACAGGTTTCTGGTCAACAGAAAAAGAAAAAAAAAAAATCCAGCTTTGGTCAAATTCCACTGCTCTCTCTGCTTTTTTGTTTCTTTTTTTAAAATCAAGCCACTGATATGCACCTTTTCACACTGAGACCTGTTACTGACAGGTAGCGATGACTACAACACACCTATATATAACAATTTAGCAGCTAGCGGCTTTTATTAAATCAATCCTTCCTCCCGTGTAAAGGATTTGTCCACAAGCAAAAATGTAGACTTGATTGATCCTTCTTTGTGTTAATGACATAATCACTTCCACCCCAGGACAAGAAGCCCAGTTTCATACTGTTTTTGGTGTATTTTTATTTACTGTCAACCTCCTGTGCAGCTCATGTCTCTTGATCCTTTCTGGAAAGCAACGATTCTTTGTGGGGGGATTGTTTTGTTTTGTTGTTGTTTTTTTTACAATGAACGAGGAACACGCAATCGACTGCTAATCTCTACCCTCTCCACCACATTGCACATTGCTTGAGCATCCAGACATTTCTCTTTGCTTTTATATTCATCCGCCAGTTCACGCCTGAAGGAATCAACGGAAAGGCCTTAAAGATCACAAGACGTGACGATGTAAAAAATGAAAAATCCTTTTGAAATTGTTACTGAAGCAAACCAGGGTGTAATTTCAGGCATGCGGTAATAACACGCTGTGCTTTGCTTTTCAAGTGAGCCTATGATAACAATGAAACTGAAAAGAAAAACATATATTTCAAATGGAGCTAGCTCAGTTTGATCTTACAGTTCCAGCAGAAAAAAAAAAAAAAAAAAAGAAAAAGTCACAACAAATAATGAGAACATAAAGTCATACAGCTTTGAATCCGTGTTACAGTGTTACTCTGAAGTGGCTTCATATGTTTATTACCTATCAGATGCACGAAGCTAAACACAAACAGCGCAGCGCAGACTGGCCTTTAGCAGCATTAGCGCACGTCGCTCAAGCTACTCACCGTGTTCAGTTTCAAGAATGCAGAAGAAGAAAAGCAACAGAGTCATGAGGGGGTTAAGAGAATTTCTACATACAGTACATTGTAAAACAAGTAGTTAAAAATGTAAATGTAACTGCTGCAAAAGAATAAAGACATCTTTTGCTCAAACTGTAACAGTGTACACAGAACAGAGTACATTAAGAACATTATACATACTTCCTATTTTCTTCTGCAGTGATCAACTCCGTTTTATTTTTGTGTCTGTTTTTTTTTTTTTTTAAGTAATACAATCTTTAAACTCTGCAGACATCAGTTTTTAATTTAGTAAAATATTAGGACTGGGGAAAGCAGCATGGCTTTTTAAATCTTAATAACTGTCACAGAGACTTAACCTAATTTTATCTCTGCCACACAAAAAAAACCCCCAAAAAAACCCCCAAAAGACAAATTATCCACAAAGTTTGACTTAGTAGCTCAAAACTCAAAAACTTGCCATTTTGGTCACGCTTTTTAATAATGTTACACTATTCAGGATTAAGAAGGTATTAGAAAGTGCTTGATTCACCATTTATATAGTAAATATAATAGATATATTATGATATGACCATTAGTATAATTATGCTTATTACCAGCAGTGATATCTGTGCATGGTGTTAACACATCTGTATTTATAAATGACATAATAAGGAGGAGTAAAAATATATAAATGATGAATTAAGCACTTGCTAGTAGCGTACTAAAGAGCCAGGATTGTGCCTGTTTCATTGATATTTCTTTAAAAGATTTCATAGTTTTAGGAGGAACTGTGACTTTCCTTGTAATCTTACACTTTTAAGTCACCTTGTGTTTCCAGTGTCAGATTCTACCTTTTTACTGGAATGTGTGAGAAACCCTACAGCCTCCAGCTACTAACTCTTTACGAGTGCCCTCTCTGAAAACAAGAGAACGG